GGCTTGGGGACAGCCGTGGGCGGCCGTGACTCCTCCGTAATCTCACCGGAAAGCTGGTGAGGAGCTGTCTGTGCGCCCGCTCTGCCTGCGGTGGCTTTTGGTGGCATTTGTGTCACCGCAGCCCTGCGGGGCTGGACCGCGGCCCCTTCATTCCAGGGCAGGCGGGAGCGTTGCCAGCCTGCACCTGCCCTGGGTTCCCAGGGTTTTGAGGCGTATCTTTCCAACTTTGAACACTATTTTCTGCCCCGAAGAGGGCAGGCGTAGCTGCCCCGCGATGCTGCGAGCACACGGCCAGTGCTGCTGTGTGCTGGGCAAATGGCTGCACTTTCCCCGCTCGGTTTCGCTTTTAGTGCTGGTCGGTGTCACCGGTCACCAGGCTGGTATTTGTGTGAAATTTGGTGGGAGGAAAGGTTTGGCTTTTGCTGATAAAAAGGGCGCGGGAGCAGGCAGCAGGGCTCTGTCGGAACGTCTCGCCGACATCCTGCTGCACAGCTCTGATCTGGGGGTGGGGGGTGGGTTTGTAGCCCCTGGTTTTTGGGGGATCAGCAGAGGGACAGGAATCCTCACCGTGTCCCTTTGTTTCAGAGAGGTTCGACCACCACTGCCCCTGGGTGGGCAACTGCGTGGGGAAGCGCAACTACCGCTACTTCTATGCCTTCATCCTCTCCCTCTCCTTCCTGACAGCCTTCATCTTCGCCTGCGTCGTCACCCACCTCACCCTGCGTAAGTGCCGCGGGGACGCGGCGATGTCCCTGGGTCAGCGCTCCTGTGGGACAGAGCCTGGGAAGGGGCTCTGGGGGGAAGGTGACACTGGGTTTTCGGTGCAGGTGGGCGGAATAAATGGGGTGTCGGGGTGCAGGGAGCCACAGACCCGCCTGCGCTTGGCTGCAGGACCCAGAGAGCTGCTGCCTGGGGGATGCCCTGCAGGGCAGACGAGCTGCTGGGCGCATCCGCTCGCAGCCTGGCGGGGATGGAGATTTGCCCCAAAATCTCCCGGAGCTGTGTCTGCACGCTGACGTTTCTGCAGAGCTACGGGCTGCGGGTGTTCCTCAGGCAGATCTGTACGACCCAGGGGGGGTGTCTGTGTGCTGGGGAGGGACCCGTTGGCTGGGGACACCGGGCAGCCTGACGGACGTCGGTCCTTGTCCCGTTTTGCTTTGCAGGCTCGCAGAGAGATGGATTCCTCGCCACGCTGAAGACAACGCCTGCGAGATATCCTTCCGATGCCGTCGGCTGCTCGGGCTGGCGAGCGCTGGTGCAGTGGTGCCAGTTGTGTAACAGAAGCACAGTGAGCTCTTATAGGGTCACCTGCGTGGAGTTGTCACAAATTAACGTGGTCCCCTGGCCACCTGGCTGGGGCAGATGGGCATCCCTGCGTCTGTGTACTGGTAACATCACCAACCTGGGAAAACCTTTAATTCATAACATCCCAGACAGGTTTGGGTTGGGAGGGACCTTACAGCCCACCCAGTGCCACCCCCTGCCATGGGCAGGGACACCTCCCACCAGCCCAGGTTGCCCAAAGCCTCATCCAGCCTGGCCTTGAACCCCTCCAGGGATGGGGCATCCACAGCTTCTCTGGGCAGCCTTATGTAGGGACTAAGAGTGGGTGAGACAAAGGTGTTTCCCAGTTTGCAGGTTTATGGGGAGCGGGCTGTGCCGTGGTGGGTGCCCGCAGAGGGGAGCGGGGAGCTGGCCGGGGTGTTTCCATGCCCCCTCTCCCCCAGAACACCCCCTCTGCCTCCCCTTCCAGGATGAGTTTGTTCCCTGAGCCTTCCTTGACTCTCGTCTCACCGTACTGGAGCTGGTGATTTGTTTTTTCTCAGTCTGGTCTATTCTGGGCCTCTCAGGTTTTCACACATACTTAGTCGCCTCCAACCTGACGACAAACGAAGATGTAAGTACCCCGACGCGCGTCCTTCTGCGGGGCCGGCCCCGCGCCCCGCTCTGGGAGGTTTCCCGGGGCTCCTGGGCTGCCAGCATCCCTGTATCGCGGTCCAGCACGCTGCCAGCATCCCTGGGATAATCCCCTGCACAGCAAACGATGTGTGCCCGGGCGTTTGGGCTGTGTTTGAGGGGGGTGAGCGGGGGGCACACAGCTGGGGTCGGGTCGCTCGGCCACGTCGGGCTCCGGGCATCACGCGCTGCGGTGTCGGGAAGGTCACGTGCGTGTTTTTTCCACTTTGTGCATGGTCTTGCTTAAAACGAGGCGGTCTGAGATTAAAAAAAGGCAGGCTGGGCCCCAGAGATTTGTTTGGGTGTTAGCCCGGGACACGGGTGATGTTAATTTGGCATCCCCCACAACCACAGGCGTCCTGCGGGACCCCGGGCAAGTCCCCGTGTCGCTGTGGGTTCCTCCTGGCTCAGAGGCGAGCAAAGCCCAGACGAGATTCGCCCCCGAGCCGGGGCTGGGTGCAGGCTCCAGGGGCCAAACGCCAACCCTGAGCGGGGCAGATGGGGCGGAAAAGCAGGATCTGGCTGATCCTCGGGTCAGAATTCACCCTTCTGGCCAGACCTACCTGTCGTCTTTGCTGGGAGCTCCCAGCCCTGCACAAGGCAGGTTTGCATCCCTTTTTTCCCCTTTTCCTTCTTTTTTTTTTCTTCTTTTTCCCCCTTTTCTTCTCTTTTTTCCCCCTTTTCTTCTCTTTTTTCCCCCTTTTCTTCTCTTTTTTCCCCCTTTTCTTCTCTTTTTTCCCCCTTTTCTTCTCTTTTTTCCCCCTTTTCTTCTCTTTTTTCCCCCTTTTCTTCTCTTTTTTCCCCCTTTTCTTCTCTTTTTTCCCCCTTTTCTTCTCTTTTTTCCCCCTTTTCTTCTCTTTTTTCCCCCTTTTCTTCTCTTTTTTCCCCCTTTTCTTCTCTTTTTTCCCCCTTTTCTTCTCTTTTTTCCCCCTTTTCTTCTCTTTTTTCCCCCTTTTCTTCTCTTTTTTCCCCCTTTTCTTCTCTTTTTTCCCCCTTTTCTTCTCTTTTTTCCCCCTTTTCTTCTCTTTTTTTTTTTCCTTTTCCTCTCCCTCCTGCCACATTCAGAGGCGTTGGCAGACCAGCGCGGGGCCGTGTCGGTGAAGCCCACAGAGGTCCCACCCCAGTCCTGGGCGCAGCTGGTCCAAAGCCCGTGGCCCGTGGCCCCTCGGGCTGCCCTGCCCACGCTGCCAGCCTCGTGCTGTGACTCGGGAGGGGAACCAAGAGCAAAAGGAGGAAACGTCGGGTGCACGGTTGGCTGCAGCTGGGGGCTGGGACCGGGTTTAGCATCTGCCCCCGGCTGTGCCCACGCTCGCTGGGGCTGGGTTTCGAAATCAGCGTCCCGGTGACAGCTGCTCGGGGTGGGGACATGGGGACGGTTCCTCCGGTTGTGGCATCGCCCGGGAATCCCCTCGCTGCGTGCTGAGCCCAGGAGGGACCATGGGCTGGAGCCCGGCTCCGAGGAGCTTCCAGCCTCGGAGAGACCCAGGGGAGGAGGAGGAGGCTGGTGCTGGTGGCACGGGGAGGGGACAGCTTTGGACCTCGGCGGAGGTGGGATGCTGCAGTTGGCAGCAAAGCTCAACCCTTCTGGCTCAGCCTCCCCTGTCCCAGGGATGGGGAGAGAATTAACGGGGTGAAGGGAAAAGGGACTCGGGGCATGAGATAAGAACAATTTAATAACTGAACTACAATAATATTGGAAATAATAATGATGGTAATGATAGTGATATATCCAAATGAGTGACACACAGTGACACTGCTCAGCACCAAGGCTCAGCCCGTTCCCAGCTAACCATCCTGGAGCAGGGGGAGCCCCAAACCACAATCCCAGAATGGAGAGAAGAGCCCGAGAGACCCAGGTGACCTGGAGGGAGAAAACCCAGAGCAGGAGAGATCCCTCCTGACCAGAGCCTCCCCTCTCCCCTGGCCATGGGCATGGGATGGATCAGACCATCGGCCAGTTTGGTCTCAGTCCTGAACCTGAGGTCGAATCCTGGGCTGGTCACTGGGGCTGTGCTCCCTCCCAGCTCCTCCTGCCCCTGCAGACACGGGCACAGCAGAGAAGTCCTTGGCTGTCCTGGCAGCAGCTATAAACACCAGGGTGTTATCAGCCGCCTTCCCAGCCCAAATCCAAAACACAGCCGCTCCTTAGCTGCTGGGAAGTGTTAACTCTGTCCCAGCCGACCCCGGGACACAGGAGCAGCACGTTGCCGTCTCCTCTGGCTGCCTTTCTGCAGCTCCCCTGCTGTTACAGCAGAGAGGGAGGATGTCTGCAGCCAGACAAACCTTCTGCCTCTTGAGCGAGGGTTTGAGCCCAGCCCGTTACCGTGTCATTATCTCCGATCGCATCTTTCCCGTTTTCATCTGCGCCTGTCCTTTCCCTTTCAGATCAAAGGGTCCTGGTCAAACAAGAGGGGCTCGGAGTTTGCCAATCCCTACAGCCATAAAAGCATCCTCACAAACTGCTGCGCGGTGCTGTGCGGACCCTTCCACCCCAGGTGAGAGCCTGCCACCCCCGCGGCGCCGGGAACCGCATCCTGCTCTGCCAGAGCGGGGAAAGGGATTGCTGGGACCCAGGAGTGGCAGCACAAGCAGCTCTGCCCCCAGGATGGTGGGGAAACAGGTTTCCAGGCTCTGCAGAGCAGCTGGAGGAAGGTGTCAGAGGTCTGGCTGTTCCTTCTCCTGCCTTTGGACTTGACGAGTTCGGGTCACTTGTGATTTTGTCACGGAGCTCACAGATGAGACGCATCCTGCGATTCCGTAAGGGGAGAGTAACGGTGCCAGTGGGCTCGGCAGCAGGTGGTAAATGCCGGGAGCAGCGGTACTTCTGAGCACTTTGTGCTTTTCCTCCTGTACTGGAGCATCACGGCACGCCGAGAACCGCAGCGGGCGGTGCGGACCCGGGCTCTGACCGGCACGGGCGTCACCCCGAGCGCTCGGTAGCATCCCACCAAGTGCTCATCACCCCGAGCACTCGGTAGCATCCCACCAAGTGCTTTTAGCTGCGAGTTGGCCAGAACCGATGTTGAACAAGGGCAGAGGCTGCTGCAGGTATGAGGAAGCTCTGAGCCTGAAGGACGGGTTCCTGCAGCGTGGGACCGTCGCTGCTCTGTCACCAGAGGGTGCAGTTGGGCAGCACCTGGCTGGGTCCCCTTGGAGCTGAGGACCTGCACGGGGAGCCAGAGCTCTCGGCCCATCCTGGGGCCCATGAGGATCCTGGAGATGAGTTTATTCCCTGGATCCCCTTTAGATTTACGCGGAGCATCGCGGAGGTGCTGATGAGGCTGATGATGAGGCTGTCGATGTAGCACGACAGCCGGCGATGGTGTCTGGGGCTGTGCAGCTGGGGTCAGGGTGTGTCCCACACTTCAGAGAATCCCAGAAGGGTTTGGGTGGGAAGGGAGCTTAAAGCCCACCCAGTGCCACCCCCTGCCATGGGCAGGGACACCTCCCACCAGCCCAGGGTGCCCAAAGCCTCATCCAGCCTGGCCTTGAACCCCTCCAGGGATGGGGCATCCACAGCTTCTCTGGGCACCCTGGGCCACTGCCTCACCACCCGCACAGGAAAACATTTCTTCCTCACATCTCATCTCCATCTCCCCTCTTGCAGCTTCAAACCATCCCCCTCATCCTGTCCCTCCACCCCCAAGCTTTTTGCTGGATTCAGAGGTGCTGAAGCACCAGCGCTGCCACTCAGAGGGGGTCAGTCTGCGGATTCCGGGAGCCGAGCTGTTTGCTGGGACAATAATGTTTTACTCCAATTCTTCCCTCGTTTGTGAAGAGCTGTCACCAGCTCCCACTGGGGTTGGTGGTGACCCGCAGCTTTAAGTGCCTGCAGGCTCTCCGGTGGCTCGTTCGATGGCGGTTGGTCCGATGGGCAGGGAGCTCTGGTACCCAGCGCGCTCCTGCCGATGCTTTGGGGAGCGGTTCCCACGAGGACAGACCTCTCCGGGGCTGGTGAGCTCCCGTCTTCACCGAGTCTCCATTATCTCCCCTTGCTCCCTTCCCTCTCTGTTTTCCAGTTTGATAGACAGAAGAGGATTTATCCAGCCAGACGTCGGGACCCCGGCCAGTCCTAAGAGCGAGATCCCTTCCTTCGGAGCCAAAAGCGACACCAGCATGGTAGGAGGCA